TGATAAATTGTGTAGAGAATCGACGCGACAGAGTGTATGTGTATTATGTTATATAATTATGTACATTCTGGTATACAATTATGTACATTATTTTATACAATTATGTACATTTTTTTTTATATAATTATGTACATTCGAACACGCAATTTTTTTTAACAATTAAAAGTTTATATACATTCTCATATACAATTATGTACATTTTCAAAACATGATTTTTTTTAACAAGTTAACAACAAGTACAGACAAGCGAAATTTTCAAAAAAAAAAAAAAAAAGTACAACACAGACATCGTTTTGTACCAGTATTGTGTGCCCTGGTGCACGATGCATCTTTGTTGGTTTATAAAAATAGAGTTACATGTATTTATGTTGGCCCATTTATTTTTCATAAAAATGGTTATGGTTAAATATCTACTGTCAAATTATATCAAAGATTGGGATCTACTTTGCATTGTGAATTCTAGTCCAAAAATAACATTCAGATTATGTACAAATTACAGACACACAAATAAAATCTTATGTGTCTACAGTTAACATATTATGTACATACAGTAACAATTTACATGTATGTAGTTATCATTTTATGTGTTTGTATCTGCAGTTAAAATTTACGTGGATGTAATTATCATGTTATGTATTTATAATTATCATGTTATTTGTCTGTAATTATTATGTTATGTGCATTCAATTTGTTTACAAGTATAGAAATAATTAACTACAATTATATAATGTGTTAATTTACAAACACACAATTTTTGGACCAGAATTCATAAATATCTTCAAATAGCCAATTAAATTAAATACGGAGTTCGAATTTTGTGAATAAAAATATGTAAGTAATAAAGAGGTCTTAAAAAAAACTGAAAAAAAAGTAGTAGTAATACATTGAGAGTGGAGTGGATATATAATATATAAATATAATGGATTGAACTGAAAGTTGGAGTTATATATTAACATTAGATTGAACAATAATCAACTCTATCAGTTCCCAGCCAGCATTAGTGGCTTTGGGAGGGCTGAGGTTGTGAATAGGAGAAACGTAACATAATGAGAGCCTTTGGGGTTGGAGATTCAACCTTTTTGGCAAAAGAAGGAGAAACGTAACGTAATGTAACGTAGATTGAGACGAGTTACATGCATGAAATTAATTAATTTTTTTTTTTTTTAAAGTGGGAGTCTATTTAATTAACATCTTTTGGCCTTTTTGCAGGTAAGTGAACCTGCATTCCCTGTGAGGGAACTGATGAGAGAAGAAGGCCTAGCACTCAAGCTTGATGCTTTTGCATAGCTAGATGAAGCCCCTGCACCTGACCTTGTAAAGAAAGCTCCATTCAGCATCAGATCCCCTTCTGATCTCCAGTTCCATTTCTTCCATTCACTCTCTGCTGCATCCTCATGTTTTGTAACCTTCAAAACACAAGAAAATGTGTGTTGTTATAGTTATTATTACTTTTTTTTTTTTGGGGATGACGAGGAAAACCTTCCATCAATATTTGGGGATATGCACAAGATAAATCTCACAGTCACTACCTGGGGGTATGCATTGGGTAAATCCCAGCAAAGGACCACAAAGAGGTAAACCAACTTAGGTTGTTCATAGCTGACTGACTCAAACTAAAGGTTGAGATTCAAACTCATGACCTTGTGGTTACAAGTTTGTATCCTTAGCTAGTTTGGTTGGGGTTACTTTTTTGGAGTGACAAGTGAAATTCGTAGTCACTATTCGAGAGTGTGCACTGGATAAACTCTACCTTGTGACCTTAGTTGGTAAAGGATCACAAGGAAGTAAACCATCTTAGGTTGACCATAATTGACCGGTTCAAATCAAGAAAATTGAAATTCAAACTCGTAACCTTTTGATTACAAGTTTATATATCTTTAACCAGCTTGGTTGGGACTCCAATAGGTTCCTTTGTTTCTAGGGGTAGGGTGGGCAAAATTAAAACATTACCTCTTTGTTGAATCTGTCGTTTGGAGCGAGGAATCTATTGCCTTGGCTATTGATTGTAGGGTCAGCACTCCCACCAATTGCATACATTTCCCAGTGGGTGTAGTCATTGTTCACCACATGGAAATATCCATGTCTGCATCTGCATGATATGATGATGATGATGTTAGCATGGTATGGCATCACACCCAACATATACATCTAAATCTGCTAATAAAATAAAATAAAAACTAACCTTTGAACATGCCAAAATCTAAAATTATTAAAGGTATTTTTGTCCTTTCATAATTAAGATTCCAATTCGAATATAAATAAAGGGATTTAAGTGCTAAGATATGAATTGGAACATAAATAAGAAGGATGAGGAGGAGAACAACAAAAATTGAGATTTTAAGACTTAAAAACGATTTATTTATGCTCAAATTGGAATCTTAATTATGAAAGGACGAAAATTACCTTTAATAATTTCAGATCCAGAATGAATTTTGACACTAGCAAAATAGTTGTGAATGAAAATTGGTCAGAATTAAACATGTGTTGACCAAAACCAACAAAATTGTCATTTTGGTAATACCCAAAATTAGTATTTGATTTACATCCATCTAAATGACTTAAATCAGGCAATAAAATAAAATAAAATAAAAAGCATGTACCTTGGCATTCTCTGAATCAGCCCTTCTCCAAAATGGTTGAAGGCTATGGTGACTTGCATATTCTTGTCTGCTGTAAGGGTATCACTATGGCCCAAGAGCATGACCTTGTTGTGATGAGTCATGTAGTTGTTGGAGATGGTTATGGCAGTGGATGCATGTATGGCATCAATCAACCCATCCCTGCAGTTTGAGAGGGAGCAATGGTCAACCCACACATGGCTCCCTCCAAATATGGACACCCCATCCCCATCCGATAATGTCCTCCATCCATAATGATCTGGGGAGTCCCTCACATACGCATTCCCTCCTTGCTTGCAATCATGGATGTTTAGCCCATGGATGATGATGTTTGTCACATATTGGATTGTGATGCAGGGGCCTCCTGCTATGTGTACACTTGCCCCCCTTCCATCTATGGTCTTGAATGAGTTGAGCATTAGTTCTTCCTTCAGCTTTATCACCATGTCCCGGGCGAAAACGATCCATAATGGCTCGTCCTGTATCGCCCCGTACCTCAGTGTCCCTGGCTTTGGGTTCACCGGGTGATCCCCTGGGTCTGTCACCACGTAAATCTTGCCGTCCCTTCCGCCAATGGCGTGTTTTCCAAACCCGATCGCGCAATCCGCTAGGCGCTGCCGGTTTTTGTCCCAGTTTGGGTCACACCTCCAGCAATCATCAATTGGGTTCCCTGTGCCACATGACAGGAACCCCAGCTTCCTCCTTGCACTTATTGTGGCATTATTGATTTTCCTACATTGTATATTTGTTAGCATCAAGCATTTACCACTATGTTAAAACTATAATTGGTAGCAAAAGACGTAATTTTATTTCTTTATATAAGAGTTTTTTGCACTTTTGGTTTCACGAGTATTGTGACACTAACAAGATTGTTCCACGACTTTTAAACCTTACAAACTTGATCCACAACTATCCATTTTTTTTTTTTAGCGCAAATAGCCTTTCTGACTCAATTTCCGTCCATTTGTGACCGAATTTTTTTCCTTTATAGCAGGGTTGAGTCGTGTACAGAGATCTAGCCAGAAGGACCATTTGTACTAAAAAAAATGATAATCCTGGATCAAGTTTGCAACGTTTGAAAGTTGTAAAACATACTACAATACTCTGGAACCAAAAGTACAAAAAACTCCTTTATAGACCGTCATTACATTTTCTAAAAACAATGTGTATTGATAGACTTGACCTGTTATTGCCTTATCGGCCTCCGCCCATTCTACATTAATGAATCTATATATATATATATATATGTATACTATAAATAAATTAAAGCAACAAGCTAAGCTAAGAGAAATGCAATATAATCTCACTCATTCACTTCTTGAACTATGACTTCAGGATCTGGGAATGGAGAAGAGGCGGCTGTGAAGGTGGGATAGAGAAGAAGAAGAAGAGGGAGGAGGAAAAGAAAGTAATAAAGTGGCGGCATCGCCATAGTTGCTGATCGAGTTGCAGAAAGAAAGAGAAGAGAGTGTGAAAAGGTGGGGGAAAATGTTAGGCATTTATATACAAAGAATAATGTCTTAAAGGGGCCACCAACTCCACCTCTCAATTAATAATAAACTTCAACTTTTCCTCTGCTCACTTCGGAATTCAATTTTCCCTCAACTCTCTCTCTCTCTCTCATCTGGGTAAAATTACAGTTTTGATTCTGCTCTTTTTTTTTTTTTTTTTTTTTTTTTTTTTTTTTGTCCGTAGAAGTTTAACTCATTGATTCAGTTTGCAGTATTTTTTTTTTTTTTAAAAAATCAAGATTCAAACCGTAGTGGATAGATTATACTTAATGTGGACAGATCCCTTGTGCGCACCGACATTTGGTCATGTCTTTCGAGTTAGTGAGTCACTGTGATTTACATCATCCCAAATACTCTGTCAAGTTGGAATGCAGGGAGCCCTTAGAGTTGGCAATAATCTTAAATGCTCTGTCCTGTCAGGATGTAGGGAACTCTTGGGGAAGGGAGAAGAAAAATTACAATTTTCTCTAGTGGTAAAGCAAATTTATTTATTAATAATATATATTTTTACTCACTCTCATACCTTAAGATAGGTTGGGAATTCAAAACTTCCTCTCATATGAAAAAATTAATATGACAAACACTTTGTTCCTTAACTAGGTTGACCCGGTGCGAATAAAAATTAGTTTGAGTAGGTTACGAGTTTAAAGGTACTACCTATAGTTAAAATATACCCATGAGACAAATTATACCATGGATTAGGATTTATCTTGCATTGTGGACCATGATTTAAAATAACCTTCGGATTATGTGTCTAACATATTCTATACCTGCAATTCACTATTTATATGTCTGTAAATAAATTAAAAGCATATATTATATTAATTACAGACATATGAAATAATAACTACAGACTCAAATGATAAACGACAAGTACAAAATGTATCACATAATTTTTAAACTATATTCCACAATGCAAGATGAATAATAATTACTCCGTATGATATAACAATTGTATTCAGACACCTCGTGCTTCCTACAGTTTTCTCTGGGTAATGCAAATTTATATATATATATATATATATATATATATATATATATTCTTACGCAATAACATTTCATGATCATATCATGATTACCATAATTGATTACAATTACTGTTTACTGTTTAGCTCGATGTACTAAGAAATCCCTTTATTCCTAAAAACAAATTACTGTTTTAAAGCATATTTGTAGAAAATTATAATTGATTTTTTTTTTTCATTTTTATATACACCGCTTAGCTATAAAACTTTTGGCATTTCAAAGTTTATTCATATTTGAGAAAATGAAAAGTAAACATATAATTGATGAGACAAGAACTGAAATTAACCTCCGAGAGCCAAAAGGAAAATGTTATGTACATTTACTTTCTCTATCTATTGTAAATCAAAGAGTCAATACAACACCATTAGAGTTTAATACTGTAACCTTTTCCCTTTAAGAACACGTTTGATTCACAGAATGAATTTTGAGGTAATAGGAATTTGACATCTCTTTATCAACTTAGTTTTTCAAAAGTTAACACAATTTAAATTTTATATTTTTTCAGTAATTTATATTGTGATTGTTCAAATAATTAATATATAACCTGATAACATAGTTAACTTATCATTCAATTTTGGCTTGTTTGGCCACTATTAGCTGTTTGACTTGGTTAAATAGCCAATATGAGTGTTTGATTAATCAGCTTTTTGTAACAGTTTATTGTTCCAAAACACAAAAATTTAAAAAGCTGCTCAAAGCAGCTTTTTTGATCAGCTTTATGAGAAATTAAATTATACCCTTAAAATGTCATTTTCCTGGTAATCAGTTATCAGCTAACAATTAATTTATCAAATATCTTATTACAACCAGCTAACGCTATCCTCTAGTCAAACTCGTTAACCCAATCCGCTAATAGCTATTTGCCAAATGCCTCTTTTGATTTAAGAAATACAAAACACTTCTGTCACATTTTTTCTTTTCCATTTTTTTGCCACTTAATTACGGAGTAATATGATCAAAATATAATCATTTTTTTCTTACAAGTTACAATGGGGAGGCATTCGATGATGTGTATAGATGCTATATGCACAAAGGTGTATCAATTTATCAAATATTTTTTTCGTAAAAAATTGTCATAATATTTAATTGTTTATTTTAAATTTAAATGGGAAAATATAATGCATTTTAAGCTCTCAATTAAGCAACTCTAGTTGTTTTATTGCAAATATTTTTGTTGTTGTAGAATACACCCTAACTTTATGAAGAAAATTGAGAATTTCAACTCTCAAGTACCAGAATGTGATTTAGCTCTTATTTCACATTTAATTAGCATGTATTTTTGGTAAAGTCATATATGGATGTGTGTGTGTTTTTGAAAATTACTTTTTTTTTTTTTGGGGGGGGGGGGGGGGGGGAGGTAAAGTTTGAAGTATTTTTGCAATAAGATATGAATTAAAATGATTCAAATTGCACAAATAAGGATTAAAAATACAGTTTTTTTCAAAGTTAAATTAAGAGTATTAAAGCTTAGATAGGTTATTTGTCAAAAAAAACTTAGATAGGTTAAACTTTTGTCGATATGATAACTAAAACAGTAAATAAAACAAACAAAACGAGACAAAAGAGTACATTAATATAATGATCAATTAATTGTGCACCCTATGCATTCCACCAATCAAAAACAAAGAGGTGCTGCCCGCATGGGTAACTAGTCATAGAGGTGAAATTTATCACAAGAGACCGATGAATGCGAGGATTAAGTCTCACCCCAGTAATACTGTTGATTAGTTAATATGAGTCACAATAATTTATCTCTCCATAATCCCGTGAGCATTTGGAGTGAGCGATTCTCCTTTTGTCACAAGAACAAAGAGGTGCTACTATGATATCTCCAAAAAATTTAATCAATGTATGAATAATAATGTCCGCACGGGCTTAGCTCAATGTTTTAGTATACAATATTTGGGAGAACTGACCAAGGTCCGAATCTCAGTGCGACAATGTGGAGATTATGTCCAAAGTGGACAGATCCCTTGTATGCACTGGCATTTGGCCCTGTGTTATTGAGCCATTGTGTCACCGTGATTTACATCCTCCAAAATGCTCTGTTGGGTCGGGGTTGAGGATTCAACCTTTTGGGCAAGAATGTATGAATAATTATTAATAAATATAACAAATGTAAACGATGTGTTAATGAATGTCAATATTTTTATTTTTTTAATGAGTTAATTCCACCAGATATCCCTTGTCTTTGGTGATAATTCTAAATTTATTTCCAGACTATTATTTTTGATATTTAACATCCTAGACTATTATTTTTTGGACACTTTTAGTCATTCTCATGACTTTTTCTATCTTTAGTAAGGGCATTTTTGTCTTTTCATATTTTTCTTTTGTTATTTTTCTGGTTTCAGCCGGTTTAATTAGTTTAGAACTTTAGGTAACCTCCGATTTTTAGTAACCATATTTTAACCGATTTTTAGTAAAGTCCTAAACCAATTAAACCGCTTGAAACCGAAAAAATAACAAAAGAAAATATGAAAAGACAAAAATGCCCTTACAAAAAAATAAAAAAAGTCATGAGAAAGACTAAAAGTGTTCAGAAAATAATAATCTGTGATATTAAATGACAAAAATAATAGTTTGAGACTAAATTTGGAATTGCCACTAAAGGAAAAGGAACTCTGGTGGAATTAACTTTTTTTTTTAATCAACTAAAATCTATTTTCAAATTAAAGTTTGAAAATTGCTATATTTTTTACTTGATGACATAATACACCATTATCTATAACGTTTTTTTTTTTTTTACGAATTAATAAAAAATTTGGGAAATAAATAAGTATAATATAATAACAATTATTAAGGATTGATTTTAATTAGTTACTGCATGAAATGGAAATTTTACTCATTACTAAGCGGTGGCTTTGAAGGCCCGACAAAATTAAGTTTAAATATTTGTGGCAGTTTGGTTTTCAGTTTCCTAACTTATCTAATTTTATGGTACATATATTATAATGGAGTACGTTTGGAATTGGGATGAGGGTGAAATTTGTTTGTTAAGTTTTCTATACTTTCAGACTATTGAAAATATATGTGTCATTTTTTAATCCTCTATGGAACTAAAAATAACACATGTTAAGTAATTAAACAAACACGTCAACTATCATGTGGTGTGATGACATCTCGATTACCATTCTAAATTGATGGTTATAGGTTCAAGTCTGCATTTTATTCAGATGTATTTTTGAATACTGTGTGGTGTATTTATACATACCTAATGGTGTAATTCGCACCGGCAGCACAGAAAGTTATGTCCTCATTTGAACTGGTATATATATATATATATATATATATATATATATATATATATATATATATATATATATATATATATATATATAGGCGGTGCATTTATACATAGCTAATGGTGTTCACTATGACAATCTAGGAGTGTGTCAATAAGATTTCTAGGTTGCCCATTTTAGTTTACTTGTTATCTAGTGTGCTCATTTGTTTTACCTTGTGAATCCATCTTGTTGTTTATTTTATCATTACATCGTTTTGCCTTGTGTTTCCATAGTTGTTTTTATTTCACTAGTAATTCACCCGCGCGATGCACGGGATAAAATGATGTTATTATAAATATAAATAAAAAATAGAAAAAATAAAAATATTTTAAATTGTTTAATATAATAATATTTTTGAGCTTCCATTGGTCAAGTTTTTTTTTTTTTTTTTTTTTTTTGAAAGCCAACCAATAAATGATTGTATTAACGAATCAAATCTGCAATCGAGTCAGGAGGGATATGATCTCAATACATAGAATAGGTCAAGTACTTATTATTTTTATAGAATACAAAATTACAATTAAAATTTGGTATGATTAATATAATCTCTAATTATGTACATATTCAAATAAACTTATAGAGAGAATTTACATAATTACATTGATTTATTCTTAATTGTATTTCATCTATATTATAATTTTCACAATACGAATAATAACTAAGATAATTACATTTAGAAAGCAAATTTCAAATTTTGTATGAGTAAATTTAAAATAAATGTAATCTTTTGTTATGAGGGAGAAAAAAATAGCTATTTTATTTTTCAAATGTTGTGTTTTTTTTTTTTTTTTTAATTTTTTTTTTAATTTTTTATTTTAATAGTAAAGGATCACTACTGGAAATTATTGAATTTCCGACCACCTGAAAGTGATCTTAAATCAAGTCGAAAGCAAAAATTGATCGGGAATAGCAATAAGGATTTTTCCGGATACCAAAAGTGGTCGGAACAAGGCTTTCGACTTGATTTAAGATAACTTTCAGGTGGTCGGAAATTTCAGAATTTCCAGTAGGGGATGTTGTGGCTATTTTATAATAATAATAAGGATAGCGATAATAATTGTAACAATAATTACTCACCAAAATAATAATTATAACATTAATTACTTCCCAAACCATATAGCTTTATTATAGTTAAGATTTGCACATTGTGTGCTTATTTCTTCTCTTTTTGATCTTTGAAATTGAAATTGCATATTGAGCTTACTTGCAATTACTTTTAGTTGCAATTTTTTTTTTTTTTTCTGTTGTCTTGTGCTTTGATGCTAAATTAATCTTTGAAAATGGACTATCAATGTTATGATTTCCATGATGAATCCTATGAATCCTTCAATTACCAACCTTGCTATTATCCTTATTGATGGTACTAATTCCCGTGTATTAGGATATATGTAAATGTATGAACAACGAGCAAGAATCGATGTAGCAAATGAGCCTCCTTTATTAATGTTGTTCTTGTGTGTCTTTGTAGAGAGAAAGGAGAGTGCTAAGAATTAGTCATGTTAGCTTTTATTCCTTTTATTTGTTTGTTTTTTGCTTCTTGCCTAGTCTTGGGGAGGCAGGTGTAACTGCTCCTCGTTCTGTGGCTTTGTATGCTATTTATAACCCTGTGTAAACTTTGAATAAACACACAACTTCAGATTCTCACATGGTATCAGAGCCATAATGTCTAACGAGTAATTTTTTTCCCCCCTCCTTTTCTTTTCCGATCATGGCAACTACCAACCCCCCACCAATTGTCCATATTCATGCCCCAACCCATCTACCCATCAAACTCACACCTTCAAACTTTCTTATCTGGAAGAAACAGGTGGAATCCACCCTCATCGGCCTGGACCTTTTAGGCTATATCACAGGATTTACTAAAGCTCCGGATCAGTATTCTGATGAGGCTCACACCGCACTCAATCTTGCTTACACAACGTGGTTTAGGCAGGATCAAATAATCCTTAGTGCCATCCTCGGTAGTTTGTCAGATGTCCTGCAACCGATTATTTCCTCCGCTACTTCTGCCCATGATGCCTGGACTCGTTTGTCCGGTAGTTGTGCCGCCGCATCGCGGAGTCGAATTGTCTCGCGCCCGCGTTCTACACCGCGACTTATCACTGACAACTTGAGTGCTTCATATGTCTGCAAAAATCCAGGTTTTCACTCCCGTATGAAGCACCTGACCCTTTACTATTTCTTCGTCCGTGAGCAGGTTACTTCTGGTTCTTTGCGTATTGTTTATGTTCGTTCGGTGGAGCAGGTTGCGGATCTTTTAACTAAACTGCTGAGTTACCGCTTGTTTGAGGTGTTTCGGTCCAAGCTTGGGCTCACTGACGGTGCCTCAATCTTGCGGGGGCGTGTTAAGAATTAGTCATGTTAGCTTTTATTCCTTTTATTTATATTTGTTTGTTTTTTGCTTCTTGCCTAGTCTTGGGGAGGTAGGTGTAACTGCTCCTCGTTCTGTGGCTTTGTATGCTATTTATAGCCCTGTGTAAACTTTGAATAAACACACAGCTTCAGATTCTCACAGAGAGCATTTAATGTAGAGAGAGAATGCATAGTGGAAGTGAAGGGAAGAGATCCCTAACTTGAAAGGCTAAAGGCCCTTTCATAGGTCAAAGGTTTGGGCGGGTTTGACCCGCTGACTATGACCACGACCGGAACCGTTTGACCTCGACCCAAACAGGAGCACGGAGCGTACGGGGAGCCTGAACCTGGGGTATATAACCTATCAAGAAGCCCCCCTCTCCCCCAGTCGGTGCCTTGACGATGAACCAATGAGGAAGGGTTCGGGCTGGAAACTTTAACTATATGCGGTCCGTGACTTACGCTGGTTGCCTCATTAAAAACCTTACGCTAATAAAAATCTAGTGGGAAAAAATTTTAGCTTAGGAAAAAAGAGCACAACCCTAAGCGCAGTTTGGTGGACTAAAGAAGGGGGTTGCCTGACCTAAGGGTCGGTTTTGCAACACAATTCGAGAGGTCGAATCTACCGATCTGGCGATCGGGAAGCTAGCTAAGATCGGGAGATCGGGTTAGCCGCGACCTAGAGGTCTACTTTATCGGTCTACCGACCGGGTTGCTGGGTACGACCGGAGGTCGGATTAGTTTGCGATTTAGGGATCGAACTTTCTACGATCTTGTGAATTTCATAATTATGTTGACTTAATGTTGAAAAACTTAATGTTGTGTGAATGTGTTTCATATGGGTTGTGAGAAATGCAGTACGTGAATGATATATTAAAGAAGGAAATGCAATGCAGTACGTGAATGATATATATTAAAGAAGGAAATGCAATGCAGTATGTGAATGATATGTTAAAGAAGGAAATGCAAAATGGAAAAATTCTAAGTCAAAGTATGCAGTCACATTTTTAGCTAAAATTGAGTGGTGGAGAAATGCCTTCACATCTCAAAGGTTGATCATGGAGAAAGTGGCGACATTAAAGCAATTTAATTGCTAAATACAAGGGCTTATTACCCTATATATAGGCTCCTTGTAATAGTTGTAAAAATGAAGTTTTCAGACACAATTGAGAAATATTCTCTCTAGAAGAAAAACTTCAAGAAACTTAACGGAAGCAAATTCGAAGTGACACGACTTCAATGATTGTGTTGGTCCCGAAAGGGTGGCGAGAAGTCTAGAGGGGGGGGGGGGGGGGTGAATAGACTTCTCTAACTTTTCAAACTTCTTTAGCAAACAACACTTTGGTAACTTCAACTCTAAGTAACAAGCATAAACAAGTATAACAACTTAGAGTGTGCACAGCGGAAATGTAACGGCAAAGTGTTATGCTTTAAATTGTGTCGTGCTCAAGAGAGATTTTATACATGCATCACGTTAGAAACACTTAATATAGATGTAGGATGATGTATATAAAGTTTCACTTGCATGCAAACGAGGGAACTATCAAACCCAGGGCAATAAACCGTAACAGGTTAATTCACAGATAATATAAGCATGCACGAAATATATATGAGCAGTAAGTAAATAGAGAGAGAGAGAGATTTATAGTGGTTCAGAGGTGGTGTAATCCTCCTAGTCCACTCTTCTCCTTTTTCCTTCAAGGAGGAAATTCACTATTCTTCGATCACCCAGATACAATAGTGAATAAGTGCCCAACGACACTTCTCCGAGTGCTTCGCACAAAGCTACACTCCACCAAGGTTTTTCGCAAGCTCCTCTTGTTACTCCGCCTTCCCGAGTACTTCGCACCAAGCTGTACTCCTACACCACGAGAACTACGCACAAAGCTACGCTCTCACCGGGTTTTCACAAGCTCCCCTTGTTACTCTGCCCGTTACAACCGAGTGCTACGCACAAAGCTACACTCCAACTGGGTTTTTCACTCTCCCTAGTTACTCTACCCCTTTTCTACACTCAGTAGAAGATTTACAATAGAGATAAAAAATTTTTCTCACTCAGACTTGAATTTAATCGTGTATAGCTCAATATATTGCTTCTTGGCTGATTTGAATATTGCTTGCTTTTCTCTTTGTTTTTCAGTCGTAATCTAGTTGTTGTTGTCTTCAAGTCTGCTTGGGCATTTTATAGCAGATGAAAGCTATTTGCCCGTTGATCAACTTTCGATCTTGATCGTCCAATTTGAATTGTAGTTGATCAAATAATTTTGCCAACTTGGTCTGCAAAAATCATTTCGCCGTCTGTCAGAAGATTTGAATAAATCTTGCCGTTGCTCTCCTTTAATCTGACAAAGCTTTTCTTTGGAATGGGTAGCCTCCAAATTTGAATTTCTCTGGCATGACTTTTGTTGAATTATTGATCTGATGTGCCAAGTTGATCAAATAATTTATCTGCTGATTCTTGCTTGAGTATTAAAAAGATCTCCTTCGTATATCAGCTTCTTCTTCTCCTTCGACTTCTTCTGCAGAAACAGAGCTTCAACATAATGTTTCTGTCTAATTCTATCATGATGTCATAGCTCCTTTTGATGAAGTCATATCCCAATAGTATATCATGTTCCACCTTGTATCATGGACTATATATCATGTTCCACCTTGTATCATGGACCATATATATCATGTTCCATTTCATATCATGAACTAGCTATCATGTTCCACCTTGTATCATGGACCATATATATCATGTTCCATTTCATATCATGAATTAGCTATCATGTTCCACCTTGTATCATGGACCATGTATATCATGTTCCATTGTATATTGTGAACCAATATCATGAATTCATAAAATTGCTTTAGGTGGGAATTGAATTGTAGACCATTTGCTTTGCTTAGTAAGGCTTCTTCCATCTCGGCTGGGTATCCAATTAATAAAATCCAAGACTTAAATGCTTTTGACTTATCTCTTCCACGTGTTCTGCACTAGCTTTATCACATTGTGATGTCATTACCCGATAATCGTGACGTCATCATCCGATAATTCTCAACTATCACGATAAAAATTGTTCTATCATATGATAGTATTTCCTGATATTACTATCATGATATTGCTTCTTCACGATAACATTTCATCTTTTCACCAAAATTGCTCTCAATGGGAATCAAATTGTAAATCATTTCGCATTTGGCATGCTTTAACAAGTCTTCTACCATCTTGTCCATCTCAACCTTTGGTGACTTGATGCTTCATAAATGTGTTAAGCTATGATCCCGCTTTCATTTATTCTTCCTTCAAACTGCTTTTACGTAGACTTCATGTAGGCTTCATGGCAGTGATGCACTATACTTTGTGAACCAGAACTGACTCAAATAAAATAAAATTGGGGTCTACAAAATACATTTGGCTCATCAAAACTTATACAATATATTCCTAACAGATTGAAATTCGGAAATAAGGTTGGTTACAATTTGTGTAATTTGTAGAATTAGCTCAAATTGTATTTCTTTATTTTTCAGAAAGTTACTTATAAGATTAGTGTCTCAAATAGGTGTTAGTCTTAGTTTGTGTAATTCATTGAATCTTGTAAAGTGTAAAAACTTGGAGTTGTACTTAGCTGAAAAATATTTCGGGCGTGGCCCCGTAGAATAGAAGGCAGTCTTCAACTGCGTTATCAAATACCTGTGCTCATATTTACTTGTTTCCTATTTTGAAATAACTTCCTAAATTGCTTTCAATGCTTCCTCTAAAAATTATTAGTGAACGTACATCCTTTCATTATAAACTAACAATTGGTATCAGAGCAGTGTCGCTCAAATTACTAGCCAGATCTTAGGGATACTCGAGTTATTTGTTTGCAGGATGGAAGAAGGGGCATCAATTTCAAGGCCTCCATTACTGAAAGGTGTAAGCAATTATGCCTTTTGGAAAGCAAGAATGAGGGCTTTCATAAAGTCACTAGATGAGGAAGGTTGGGATGCTGTAGAAACTGGCTGGACCCCACCGACAATCACGGTACAAAATGAGATAAGAAAAAAACCAGTGGTTAGTTGGACAACAGAAAAGAAAAGATTGTCATCAACTAACAATAGAGCTATGAACGCAATTCATAGCGCCATGAGTTCAGAACAATTCATGCTTATATCTGCTACAAACCAGGCAAAGGATGCTTGGGATGCACTAGAAACTCATTTTGAAGGCACTGGATCTGTGAAAGTATCCAAAATACAGATGCTCATGTCCCAATATGAGAGTCTATGGATGGAGGAGACAGAGACTGTCTCAGAGTTCAATGCTCGTGTCAAAAGCCTTGCAAACAATGCGTTCAACCTAGGGGAACCATTCGATGAAGAAAGAATGGTTCGTAAGGTGTTGCTATCTCTACCTCCAAAGTTTAAAATGCAAACAATTGCTATTAAACAATCCATAGACCTGAAAACTCTCCCACTAGATGCGCTGATAGGCAACCTACAAACCTTCGAGATGGAGTTAGATGAGGAAGATTAGATAAATGTTTGATTATATTATTCAGCACAAGAACAGGAAAACAATATAAAGGGAAATAACAACTAACGTAAGAGACTCCTATCTAAGAGGGATGACTAAGGACTTATTCTCCTGTTACAATATTGACTAAACATATATAACAAGACTAATAAATAATATATGACTAACACTCCCCCTCAAGCACAAGGTCGGTGAGTCACCACATTGAGCTTGTCATGTAGAGTAGCAAAACGTGGACCAGCCAAGGGTTTGGTGAAGATATCTGCAATCTGGTCCTTTTTTGAGACGAAATTAACTACTAAGTCCCCTGAGGCAACTTTGTCTCGTACAAAATGGAAATCAATTTCCACGTGTTTGGTTCTGGCGTGGAACATGGGATTAGCACAGAGATAGGTGGCCCCAAGATTATCACACCACAGAGTTGTCGGCTCGCCAGTATGTAGACCCAACTCGCGAAGCAACGAAACAACCCAAGTGACCTCAGCGGATACATCTGCTAGAGCCTTGTATTCAGCCTCAGTAGAGGAGCGTGCTACAGTGCGCTGTTTCCGAGACAACCAGGAGACGAGATTAGTCCCCAAGAATACAGCATAGCCACTCGTGCTCTTCCTATCTAACGGACAGCCGGCCCAATCGGAGTCAGAGAAGGCATGAATAGCCGAGGAAGCAGAGACTGTAATACGTAAACCATACTCAAGAGTACCCTTGACATACCGAACAACACGTTTCAAGAGACCCCAATGATCAACGGACGGTGAGTGCATGAACTGACAGAGTCGATTGACAGCAAAAGAGAGGTCGGGTCTAGTAATGGTGAGATATTGCAGGGCACCTACAATGCGCCTATACTGCGTCGGATTATCATGAAGCTGGTCCGACGGTGTAACAGACTGTGTAACAGCAGCCGGGGTTGCTAAAGTTTTGCAGTCCGACATACCAGCCCGGTTTAGAATATCCTTCATGTAGCGCCGCTGGGATAGCATGATTCCCCCTTCAACTTGAAACATTTCAATCCCAAGAAAGAACCCTGGGGTGCCTAGATCCCGAATTTTGAATGCAGTAGATAACCGGTGCAACAAAGTAGTAATAAGAGGTGGGTCATTCCCCATCATGATTATATCGTCAACATACACAAGTAGATATACTCTGGATGATCCGGTAGAGTAATGAAAAAGAGAAACGTCGGTTTTAGATGGCACAAAACCTGCAGATATCAAGAAATCGTGTAGCCTTTTGAACCAGGCCCGTGGGACCTGCCCGAGGAGGCTGAGACACCTGGCTCGGGTGGTGCTGCCTAACGCCGCCATGATTGACTCCCAGACCTCTCTTGATGTGGCCTTGCCGACGGCGAGGTGCATCACTTCATCCGAGAGGGATGAAATGATCAGAGATAAGATCAGTTGATCTTGCTTAATCCACGCTTTGTACGCGGGATTGGGAATCGGACCAGTGGTGGTAGCTGCGGAATTTGAACCGCCGGAAGCGGGTGGTGATTCGACTGTGGGCGGCGGATACGGCGTATCGCCATCAACGAACCCCAACAGCTCTTGACCGCGAAGAAAAGGGATTATTTGAGTTCTCCAGAAGAGAAAATTGCGATGGGTGAGTTTGATAGAAACATGGTGGTTCGCACCGGCGAGGGGATTAGAGGCAGTCGCCGGTGGGTTTGATGCGCCGGCAGTGACTGTTCTTTCAGAGGAGTTCGTGGACATGGTGGGGGATTGAGTGATTGCCGGCGATAAAGATCGACAAAGGAGGTGAGAGAGAGAGAACCCGATCTATCTGATACCAGATTAGATAAATGTTTGATTATATTATTCAGCACAAGAACAGGAAAACAATATAAAGGGAAATAACAACTAACGTAAGAGACTCCTATCTAAGACGGATGACTAAGGACTTATTCTCCTGTTACAATATTGACTAAACATATATAACAAGACTAATAAATAATATATGACTAACAAGGAAGACAAGCACTCAAAGAAAAACAAGGGAGTGGTATTTGGTGTCACTACACAGAATACATGCTCAGATTTTGAATCTGATGAGAACATGGTACTGTAATTTCTAAAGAAGACTAGAGGTCGCGGGAAGACCAGAGGATCAAACACAAGAAGTGAAGGATCTGGGAGCAATCAAAAAGCAAAAAATGCGGGCACCGATTACAAACAAAAGGGGATTCAATGTTATGAGTGTGGAGGATACGGGCACATGCAAGCAGACTGTGCTAACAACAAAGGAAAGAAGTCATTTACTCTCACTTTGAGTGATACAGATGACTCTGACAAAGATGAACAAGAGGAGCAGCAAACTGGCAACTTTGTGGAATTTCACGGTAATATTTGTCACCCAGATGATATAGAAGAACGAGCTAACTTTGAAAAATTCTTCAAGTGTGCGGAAGGAGAGCCCAAAGAAGCGTCAGATCATGAGGATGACTCTCAATTAGAAGATGAAGATGATCTAGCAAAAGCATACGAAGAGCTGTGCATAAGTTGGTGCAAGGTAAGTAAACTAAATCGCTCTTTGCTCAAAAATGTTAAAAATCTTGAAGAAGAAAACTTGACACTGAAATTTTCGGTAAAGACACTTGAAAACAAGATAAGCGTAAAAGATTCCAGTGAAAGGTCTTTACAGAAGGAACTTGAGCACTTGAAGAAACAAGTCCGGATGCTGAACACGGGAACAGACAAGTTAGATGAGATACTACGAACAAATGGACAATCCTCGACCAAAACAGGGTTGGGATATGTTGAAGGAACAATCAATCAATCAAAGACTACTTGGTTGAGAGAAACCACAACAAAGGTAAGGAAATACACTTGTCATTTTTTCAATCAAAGCTTTTTTAGGTGTAACAAGCAAGGTCATAGTTGGAGATGGTGTAAAAGACTAGAGCTAAAATTCAAGAAAGTATGGAGACCCAAGGTCACATGTATAGCGACAAAAATATCTATGTCAGCCAGCATGTCATTAACATGGTACTTCGACAGCGGGTGCTCTAGACACATGACCGGACACAAAGGATTTCTGACAGACATAACATATGAGCATGCTGATCAAGTCACCTTCGGTGATGGAGAAAAAAGAGAAATCATTGGACGAGGAACACTCGACACAGAAGGTATGCCTAAACTTGAGAATGTGTTTTTGGTAGATGGTCTAAAAGCCAATCTGATTAGCATAAGCCAGTTATGTGACCAAAACTTGCTTGTTAGTTTTACCAAGATAAAATGCAAAGTGTTTGATACTCAAGAAACATGTCATGGAAGGGATTAGAACAGCTGATAATTGCTATATAATCAAATCGATGCTCATGTGCAATAGTGTCACAACAAATGAATGCACAAACTGGCATTATAAACTAGGACACTTAAATTATCATGACATGGAAAAGTTGGTCAAGTTTGGAGCAGTTAGAGGACTTCCAAACTTTTCAATCAAGGAGAAACCTCAAGTATGTAGACCATGTCAAGAAGGCAAGCAAACCAGAGTGCATCATAAAAGGTTAGTACACGTTTATACTACTAGAGCACTTGAATTACTTCACATGGACCTAATTGGTCCAACTCAGGTAGAGAGTCTAGGAGGAAAAAAATATGTGTTGGTATGTGTAGATGATTTTTCACGCTTTACATGGATTGATTTCTTAAAAGAAAAATCTGATACTTTTTCTGCCTTTGAAAAAATATGTTTAAGATTACAAATAGAAAAAGAGACTCAAATCGTGAAAATCAAAAGGATAAAAAGTGATCATGGTAGGGAATTTGAAAACAATGCTTTTAGCAACTTCTGTGACAAAACTGGCATACAACATGAATTTTCTGCTCCTAAAACACCACAACAGAATGGGGTAGTGGAAAGGAAAAACATAACTCTACAAGAGATGGCAAGAGTAATGTTACTCACCAAAGCCATCAATCAGAGGTTCTGGGCTGAAGCTATGAATACAGCTTGCCACATCATAAACAGGGTAATTTTAAGACCAGGTACAAAACATACCCCTTATGAACTGTGGAAAGGGAGAACTCCGAATCTTAAGTATTTTCATGTATTCAGTAGTACATGTTACATTTTGAATGACAGGGAACAAAGAGGCAAGTTTGATGCTAAAAGCGGCGAAGGAATTTTCATGGGATACTCAACACATAGCAAAACCTATAGAGTATTTAACAAGAGAACCAAGTCCATCATGGAATCAATAAACGTAGTAGTAGATGATCATGTGATCCAAAAATGTGATGATGACGATGAAACATAGAAGAGAACAACATGGTTAGGAGAAACATCAGAAAAGGCAGAAGAAAATGCACCGTCAATCGAAAATATGGAACCCAAAGATAGCTTAGACATAATACCATCCACAAGGATTTAGAAAAATCATCCAATTGACAATGTGATTGGAGAAATCAACTCAGGAGTTAGAACAAGGGGCAAAGAGAAGAAAAACTATCGTGAGATGCTAGGTTACTCGTGCTACATCTCAATGGTAGAACCAAAAAATGTATGTGAAGCCCTTAAAGATGTGTTGGATACATGCCATGCAAGAAGAACTACTCCAATTCGAAAGGAATGAGGTATAGGACTTGGTACCGAAACCTGAAAATGTAAATGTCATTGGTACTAAATGGAGTTTCAGGAATAAATCGGACGAAAATGGAATAGTTGTCAGAAACAAAGCTCGTCTGGTCGCACAAGGGTATACACAGATGGAAGGCATTGATTTCGAAGAAACATTTGCGCCCGTAGCAAGACTGGAATCCATCAGACTTCTCATTTCCATCGCATGCTCACTAGGGTTCAAGCTACAACAAATGGATGTCAAGACAGCATTTCTAAATGGATATCTCAAAGAAGAAGTTTATGTTGCACAACCAAAAGGATTTGAAAGCTCAAAGCATCCAGACCATGTGTACAAGTTAAAGAAAGCTCTCTATGGACTAAAGCAAGCTCCCAGGGCATGGTATGAAAGGCTTACTAAGTACCTAATCAAGAAAGGATATACAAGGAGAAGTGTTGATAAGACACTATTCATCAAAAGGCATAAATCTGATCTAATAATTGCTCAAGTTTATGTTGATGATATTGTGTTTGGATCAACGTCTGTAAGCCATACTGATAGTTTTGTGAATCTCATGGAAGATGAATTTGAAATGAGTATGGTAGGTGAACTAACCTAATTTCTAGGTCTACAGATCAAACAAACTTCTGAAGGTATGTTTATCTCACAAAGCAAATATGCCAACAATCTGGTAAAACGATTTGGACTCGACACTTCTAAAAATATACGAACTCCATTTCCCACACACACGAAACTGCAACGAGATGAGACAGGCAAAACTGTCGACACAAGTCTATATCGGAGCATGATAGGTAGTTTGTTATATCTAACTGCTAGTCGCCCTGACATCAGTTTCAGTGTTGGAGCCTGTGCTCGATATAAGTCAGATCCCAAGGAATCACACTTAACTTCTATAAAACGTATCATAAAATACGTAAAAGGCACTGTAAGTTTCGGTATTTGGTACTCAAATAGATCAAACACTCAACTTGCTGGTTTTACAGATGCAGATTGGGCAGGAAATATTGATGACCGGAAGAGTACATCAGGATGTTGTTTTTACTTAGGTTCTAATTTAATCTCTTGGTTAAGCAAAAAACAAAACTCCATATCCTTGTCAACTTCCGAAGCAGAATATATAGCTGCAGGGAGTTGCTGTGCCCAATTACTCTGGATGAAACTAATGTTGCCAGATTATGGTCTTTCATAAGAGGTAATCACACTATACTGTGA